TGAACTTTATCTGACCTCTCTTGCTGTCAACTTTCCACTCTCCCTCTTCTTTGGATCCTTCCCCCAACTTGGAGTTTGGAAAAATCTTTCAATTGCCCTATTCTGAAAAGACTTACCCTAAATATGGACACTTGATAAATACGGTATTTGTCAAGTGGGGAAAAGATTTTTTTTTTTAAGTGCTGCTGAAATAATTGGATACCTGTGTAGAAAAACAAAAACTTGATGACCACTTTACACTATACATAAGATCTCATTTCAGGGGGACTAGAGTCCTCAGGGTAGAAGACAGCAATGAGCTTTTGGAAAATATGGGAGGGTCTTTATGATCTTGCAGGGCAGAAAAAGTTGTCTTAAACAGGATATATAAAACAGAAACACTTGATAAATGGGACCACAATATAATTACCCTTTGTGCATCCAACTAGTAAAGAATGAAAGACAGCTTAAGAGTGGTAGAAGGCATTTGGAAAGCATATAACTGAAAAAGGGCTTGTATTCAGAACATTTAAAGAACTCTTTCCAAATCAGTAGGAAAAAGACAAAATCCAGTAGAGAAAATGGGCAAAAGACTTGAACAAGTATTTCATAAAGTTGGCATCTAGTGGCCAATAACAAAGTTAAATGAAAATGAAACCTCGACGTTACACTACATCTACCAGAATCACTGAAATTAAAAAGCCAGATAAATATTGGTGAGGCTCTGGAGTAAAAGGAACTCACATTCTGTGGATGGAAGTGTAAATTGGTAAAACCACTTGGGAAACCAGTTTGGCATTATCACTAAAGTTGAAAATATATATGCATTCCCAATGATCTAGCAATTCCACTCCTAAATATAACGCCAAACAAATTTGTTAAATATGCATCAGGAGACATGTCTGAGAGTATTTGTAGCTGCATTTGTTTGTAGAAGCTCCTAAAAGCTCCAAGCTTAATGACATAAATGTCCACCAATAGTAAAATAGATAAATAGTGCAATGTTTATGGAGAATACTGTATATCAATGAAATTGGATGAATGAACTCCAGTTACATGCAAACAGCATGGCTGAGTCTCAGAAATACAAAACCGAGCAAAAGAAGTCAGATACAAAATGATTCCTCTTGCCCAATTCCATATAAATGTTTTAAAATAGGAAAGAATTTTCATGTAATTTTCTGTTTATATAAAATTTAAAAGCAGGCAAAAGCAGTGCTTGGGGATTCATAATTATGTTAAAATATAAAGCAAAGCAGGGAAGTAATTACTATAAAGTTGGGATCATTGTCACCCCTCGGGGTGAGGGGCAGTTGTGGCGGATGTGCAGGATTGGGGTGTCTGAGCTGAGGGATGGCGATGTCTTGTTTCTTGACATAGATGGCACTTTATAATAGGTTGTCTTGATTTTGTGTGTTTTTCTGCATGTTATATTTCACAATGAAAAATTTTTTTTGAATAAAAAAGCCCCCTGTCTACAGCCCCAATCTTGCCTCCCCTGAGCCTGTCTCTCTCTTTGATGCTCTGCTCTCCACCAGCGGAAGGAATATCTTCTCTTCCCTTATTTTCCCCTTTTCTCAGCTCCCACTCATAACACAAACTGTCCCCCATCCCCACCTCCGGTCACCAGTGACCTCTTGGTTGGCAAATCAAATGAACTTGTCTTTGCTGCTGACCTTGTAGTTCTCCTTTCCCTTGGCTTCCCCAGACGCTTCCCTCTCCTGATGCTGCTCCTCTTTCTCTCCCCATGGCCTCTCTGCTTCATTCTCTGATTGCTCCAACTTCCCAACTCCATAAGCACTGGGTCTTCCTAGGTTTCCCTCCTGCTGGTCTCATTCACACCACTAGCTCATGGCTGTGCTAACGGCCCCCAAATGCATGATGTCCCCTTCCAGACTCCAGGTGTGTGCATGCCTAGAGCTTCCTGCCTCCTCTTCATCTTCATCTAGGGGTAGGGAATCACCTTAATTTCATCCAACAGGCCTCAAAATGAACTCACGGTCTTCCTTGCTCCAACCCGACTTCTGGATTTCCTGTCCACATAAAGGGAATCACTTCTAGGTTGAGCTCTCAAGCTAGAAATGTTGACTTGTCAGTCTTTAACCTGCCCCAGCACCAGGACCTATTATTCTTATGTTCATACTATGTGCTAGGCACTTGCTATGGTCTGAATGTGTTCCTGCCACCCCCCCCCCAAAATTCCTGTTTGGAAAATCTAATGCCCAAGGTGACAGTATTAGGTGGTGGAGCCTTTGAGGTGATTAGTGTCCTTATAAAAGACACCTTCTGCCATGTGAGGACACAACAAGAAGACAGCTGTCCATGAGGAAGTGGGTCTTCACCAGACACCGAATCTGCTGGGGCCACCATTTTGGACTTCCAGGCTCCAGAACGATGAGAAATAAATTTCTACGTATATGCCGCCCAGTCTGTGGTATTTTGTTATAATGGCCTGAACAAACTAAGACAACACAGTTTTTAAAAACAGATATTACGTACTTTTTTCTAACATATATTACCTCATTTAATTCTCTCAACTCCAAGATATGATATTATCATCCTACTGTACAGAGAAGAAAATGGAAATATTAATAACCAGAGCAGCTCTTACCTCACCTGACTCAATGCTAATTCCATGGCCAAGGGGGCCTACTACCAGTATTGGTATTTCTGCCCAGCGCTGGTTTCCACCATGATTATCATCCTACCTTCCTAAATGCGGTCCCAGGCACACACAAATCTCTTTCCATTTTGTCCACCCTCAGCAGGGCTAGTAGAGTACTTTAATAACTTTAATAACTTGATAGTGTAAATCCTCTTTCCCAGTGACTTAGCACACATGGAGGCCGTGTGATCTGGGGCCAGCCTGCCCCCATCCCTACTCTCCAGCTCCAGCTCCTCGTCTTCTCTATCCTGAGCACACGTGTTCTTTCAGGCTCCTGGGCCCGTGCAGACAGTTTTCTTTGCTTGCAGTGCTCTGCTGATACCCCTCCCTGTTCAACTGGGAAATCCCTGCCCATCCTTTAAGCCCTAACTGAGAGACTCCTAGGTCAGCCCAACTCCACTTGCATATGTATTTACAATGCACTTGGTGCCAACTTCTAGCATTGTTATTTTGTTTTTGTTTTATATCATCTTACAATTGCTTATTGGTTTCTGCCTGCTTTGCTCCTGGAGGGCAAGAATAGTGTATTATCCCTTCTTGAACTGGTATCCCTTTCCAGTAGTGGTCTTATCGGCAGGTGGGGGGGGAGTCAATGGTTTTGCTGAGGAAACGTGTCTCTGGAAATTCTTGTCAAATAGCAAGCGTTGGAAGAAATAACCTGGTCACTGCCATGTTGGTGTTGGTGTGTGGTATTCTGCTGGGTTTGAGCACTGGAGATGCTTTGTTTTGATAGAAGAGAATGAGGGATAGAAAACAGGGCTACCTTTGGTGGATGTGTATCCTTCTCATTGATTGGGCTGCCAGTTGCTGGTGACATGGACCCCCCCCTCCATTGCAGACATCTTTGTCTTGCTGTCATACTCACTTTGACTCTATCCCATTCTATCCCTTCCATTCTCTTGAACCATAAAAGGCCCTTGGCATTATGCTTTTTTTTCTCATTTAACCCTTAAGAAGGGAATCAGGATATGCCACCCCAAAATATACCACTTTAGCATGAGAGTTATTTTGAGCTGAAAGCAATTGAGAAAAAGCAGACCCAGAAAGAGCTCTTCGGTCTTCCTCTCTCTGTCTAGAAACAGGACATGATTTTCCCTATGCAGGTGTCCCGTCTCCCATAACAGAAAGAGGACAACAACTCTTGTCACTGGACACAGAGATGGTACTGGGTTAAGACTGCATAAACCTCATATCAAACCTGTCTTCCATTAGTTTCTCCTATATATTTCCTGGTCACTTTCCAACAGCCTATTTGCCCTAAAAGCCCAATCTCTCTCTCTCTTTTTTTTTTGTCTGATCACTTCTCCACAATTTTTTGCTTTTTGTTAAAATGGTATTTAAGCCCCTGAGTCTTACAGCTTCTTTGAATTTTTCACTTCTTTTCTGTGAAGTTGCATGAACATAACATTAAAAATATTAATAAAATTTGTATGCCTTTCTCTGGTTAATCTGCTATTTCCCAGTTTAATTCACAGTCCTCAGATGCTGAATCTAAGAGGGTAGAGGACAAGACTTTTCTTCCCTTACACTTATAACCTATGAGATGAAGATCACTGTGACTACTGTATAGACAACTGAACTGAAGCTCAAGGAAGTTACAGTAATTTGTGGGTGGAAGACTTAGGACTTGTGCCAAAGTCCTTTTACCTTCCTTGTTCCTTTCTTGGCTAGTGTTTAAAAGTTTCTTTGGCCGTTTGGTAACCCTGAATCCCAAGAGGTTGCTGTTTGTGTGGGCTTTTGTGTCAGCTTAAAGAAGTAAACACAGCTAAGGACATCTCTGAAAAATCCCCATCTCAGAGCCAGTCAGAACAGCCCAGTGTTTCCCTGGGACAGGACTCCTTCCAGGTCTCTGTAGCACCCAGCCCCGAGGTCAGAGGCATTAATCACTCAGTGAGTTTTAGTTGATTACATGAGACTGGTTTGCATAACCTGGCTGCACTGGGGCGGGCACCCAGGCCACCACTGGACAGGGACTTTGGGACCTGGTGTAAGAGAAGGAACCCCTCCGGTGCTCACTACATCCAGGATCTGGATTCTCCCCATTCTCTCTGTTTTATCAGCTCTTTGGAAAATACTGCAGGGCCTGCGAGCCCAAAACAAAAGCCAGAGAAGATAGTCTTGTTTCTAAGTGACAGGGCAAGTCAGGGATCAAAACAAGTTTGATTAAACGAGACTTTTCAGGTTTGTCAGCCCGAGAAGAACCCAAGAAGGAAAAAATAGGTTTAAAGAGTTTCCTGAGAAAATCTTATTGCGTTTCAATAACTGCTGCTTTCCTTCAGAAACTTGCCAGGGTGGTTAGAAAGAACATTATTTCCCTTGATTTGGTCTTAAACACAAGATAAAGACGTCGGCTCACCTGGAAGCCGGTGTTGCTGTAACCCTCAGCCAGGGGGGCTGTCATACTCTCCAGCTCTACAACGTCGTTGCTGCTCATGGAATTGGCTGGGCTCTGAATTCTTTTCAGACGTCTGCTCTAGAGGTTCCTCGGTGGCTCTGAAGAGGATCACAGCCTCTGCTGATGTCAGAATGCCACCTGCTGTTTGTGGGAACCTGGGCAGGGATTGCATTTACCAAGGTGAGTCTGTTGGGGGCGGAACAAGAGTCATAGGTGGAAGGCGGGGAGACTTTCGGATCCACCCATCTCATTAATCTTCCTGATGAGCCCTAGGATTGCTGGCCCATTTTTACTCAGGAAAACTCTTGCAGTGCACAGAATAGAACGGGTTCTTTCTCAATGGTCAGGAGGGAAATAATCTGTTTCCTGTGGGTGGTGGTGGGGACTAGGAATGGACGGGAAGCAAGGAATGTAAGGACTGGTTGCTACCAACTGACCACTATTCTGTGCTAGGCCCACGCTCAGTACTTTGTATATCGTGGTCTTGGTTTCTCTTCAGTACAAACAAAAACAGAGGTGTGGTAAAGTTAATAGTTTGCTCAGGGTCATTTGGCTAGTAAAGAGACGGTGAGAAGTCAAATTCATGTCTAGATGATTCCGCAGCCTTTTTACTACATCCCTGACTGCAGACTGGATTGCTTTTAAAAATCCAACTCCTAGAAGTGCAAATATGCAGCAGATAAATGGAATGTGACCAACGGCTCACTTAATAAAAGGATTCTTTAGGAAATTATTAGCTATAGGATTCCTTCAAAATAGCAGTTTCCCTTAGTACATTTCAAATGAGCTACAATTGTGGACCTCTGTGGAAATGTGAAACATGCTTATGATAAGTGAAAAGCTAGAATTAATAAATGGAATACTGCATCATACAGTAGCTAAAAGAATGGAAGACAATATCAAATATTACTAATGGTTATTTCTGGGTTGTGGTTTTATGGGGGTTCTTATTTTCTCTTTCAGACTTTGCTGAGTTTTATAAAGAGCATGATTTACTATTATCATGATATAGACTATATAATGATTAAGAGCTCACTGGAAACACGTGGCCTGGGTTCAAATTCTGGCTCTACCACTTACTGCAGCAAACTATGGCTCAAGAGCTAAACCCCAGCCAACTGTTTATTTTTTAAAGGTTTATTTATTTATTTTAGAGAGATTCAAAAAGAGAGAGAGAGAGCAAAAGCATATGCACGGCGGGTGGGAAGGAGGTGCCAAGGGAGAAGGAGAATCTCAAACAGCCTCCCCGCTGAGCATGGTACCCTATGTGGGGCTCGATCTCACAACCCTGAGATCCCAACCTGAGCCGAAACCCAGCGTCACCAAGAGTTAGTTGCTTTACAAACTGTGCCACCCTGGCGCCCCAAGCTGCTTATTTTTATACATACAGCCTAAGAGCTAAGAATCATTTTTAGATTTTTAAATGGTTGGAAAAAATCAAAAGAACAGATATTTCGTGACACATGCAAACTATATGAAGTTCAAATTTCAGTGTCCATCAATAAAATTTTGTTGGAACATGAACATGCCTATCCATTTATGTATCATTTACGGCTGCTGTTGGTGCACAAGGGCAGGGTTGGGTAATTGTGACAGAGACTGGTGTCTGAAAATCAAAAATATTCACTACCTGGCTCTTTATGGAAAATGTGTGCTGACCCTTGACTTACTAGCCATGTGAATCTGGGCAAGGTACTGTGTTCTCTGTGCCTCAATACTTCATCTAAAAAATGGGGATAATAGTTCCCATTTTACACTATATGATTGAGATGATGAAGTGTGTTAGTACACTTAAAACACATGGAATAGTCCTGGGCACATAGTAAATTTGTTGTTATACTTACCTTAAAATGTTCAACAAGAAAAAGCATGATGATCTCTAAACAGTAGTTTGCATGTGTTTTAGGGATATTCTTTCTCCCTGGGGCCAGGTACACCTATGGCTGAGCAAGTGATATGTTACACTTACACAGGAAGGCACAGTGCCCTCGCTGGACTGGCAGTCAGGTCATTCTCTCCTCAAAGCCCCACCATATTGGTGGTGGGAAAGGTGATCTCTGACTTCTCACTGTGTGCTCCTGGACCCCTGTTCCAAGTCTTCACCATTTAACAACACCCTCAGAGCTTTCTTTATGCTTTTGCTCTTTATTGCGTAATAAATAAATGCGTAACTTGATAAATGGGAGACTTGGGATTTTTCTTTTATCAGTTATTCCCCATAATTGTGATATGTTGTAATAAGTAGCCGCCATGTTATGAAAGGCAAAAAGTCCAATTGGAAGTGATCAAGAGAGGTGCAGATAAGCACAAAGCAGATAATGTGGGGAGCTTTCTTTGTAAAATGTTGGAAGAAACCAGTTCCTGCAACCAGATATCAAAACCATCATGAACTCAAGACTCAATCTAGTTAAAGGTTATGGAAGATTCTTACTCTCTGGAGGGAAAAAAACAAAAACAAAAAAACCCCCGAAGAACAAAAACCCTTTATTCTGCCATTTGTGGTTATAAGTGCAGGAAGCTTGACTCACATACCTGACATTCCTGCAAATACTCTTATATGAACCTTTTACAAGGCACAACCCAGTGTTTTCTCCGCCCCTAGGCTGTTTTCAAACTTAAGTTTGAAGAGTGCAAGCATATTTGAGAACATGTCACTGTGCAAGCAAGAACACTCTATAGTGTTGATTAAAAGACACAGTGACTTGCCCCTTCCATTCTCCACCTACATCAGTGAAAAGGAAAAATGGAGACCTAAATAGAATAAATTATATATACAACAATGATGCTAAAATGCAAAAGTGATGGTCAGTTACAGAGAAGTTTTAAATCAAAATGTTATCTATCTGAAACCTGTAGTTAAGAGCTTTAAGAACTAATGAAAATTCAGACTTTCTCTGCAGTGTAAGAATTAACTTGATTTATGGGACTATTGCTTAAAACGATGGGTACCTTGGTAGAAGTTGTGCTCATTTTACCCAATTTGGAGTAGAAATTGTGATCAGAAAATGAGGTAAAAGACCCTTTCAACTTTACAGGACTACATTTTAAGTCCTTCCGTAGTCATGCAGAATCATTATTTGTAAGGAATAGCTTGTGCCAAGACCAAAGGAATAGTCCCTTCACTCAGAAGAGTCTGAGCTATTTTTATTGCAGTGTTCCTCAAACTCAATTTTAAACTTTGAAGCCGTTGTGTAGCAACTAATCACTGGGATTTTTAATCAAATAGTTTCTATATTCCATTCCCCAAGAATTGGCTTATGAAGACTGAAAACTCAAGCTTATTAAAGAAAAAAAATTGAAAAAAACCCCAAGTCCCTCCAAATTTATTAAAAATATGAAAGTAAAAAAAATTTAGATACATGACAAAGGTCATGCCTTGTGCATGTAATTCTACAGAAAGGTCACTCTGTTTTTTTTTTTTTGGTGACAGTGTTTCCAAAAAGAGTAAAATGAATTTTTAAAAATTATGTATAATATCTGTCCCATGTTAAGAACACTGTATTATATGTAATAGCATGAGTTTTATCTGTTCCTTGCTGTTTTCCCCCAAGGAACATTTCACGTATTACAGATGAACATTTGTTTATAAATCTTGTAGTTTAATAAACCAAAAATGTAATCCTGGGATGCTTACAAAGCTTAATCTAATTAACCAACTCTATTCAGATCATTCAAGAGAAAAAAACCCACGATAAAATGTATTTGAAATAAGAAATACTTTGGGATGTTTTCCAACAAAAAAGCCTTTTGCTTTTCAATACTCCCACTGTACTAGGAGAGGCCAGCCAGCGCACTTCCCATAGTCAAAGATGGGTCAGGGCGCCTGGGTGGCTCAGTTGGTTGAGCAACTGCCTTCAGCTCAGGTCATGGTCCTGGAGTCCCGGGATCGAGTCCCGCATCGGGCTCCCTGCTCAGCGGGGGGGTCTGCTTCTCCCTCTGACCCTCTTCCCTCTCGTGCTCTCTGTCTCTCATTCTCTCTCTCTCAAATAAATAAATAAATAAAATCTTTAAAAAAAAAAAAAAAGATGGGTCAGAGGATCTGTAGGCTGAGTAATACCTAACTGTGATTTAAGATGGCTTGGCAGTCGGTATCACTTTATTGTTTTAATTTTTGTTTATTTATTTTCAAAAAGATTTTATTTATTTATTTACTTGAGAGAGAGAGCGTGTGTGTGAGCAGGGAGAGGAGCAGAAGGAGAGGGACAAGCAGACTCTGTGTTGAGTGGGGAGCCAACGTGGGACTCGATCCCAGGACCCTGAGATCATGACCTGAGCAGGAACCAAGAGTTGGATGCTTAACAGACTGAGTCACCCAGGTGCCCCATGCTATCTCTGTGCCCAGCCTAGGGGCTTGAATTCATGACCCAGAGATCAAGAGTCACATGTTCTACTGACTGAGTCAGCCAGGCGTCCCTGTTTGCACTACTTTAGTTAGAATCCTGGAAAGGATGATCTTGGTCCAAGGGTGGGCCAATAAAGAAGGGGAGAGAACTAGTCTGTGGAGCACTGCCTTGTGCCTTTTAAGTACTTAATTTTGTGTCCATTTTATCCTCACAACAACTCTGCAAATGAGGTATTAACATCCCCATTTCACAGATGAAACACCTGAGGCTCAGGGAGACAAGTTGACTTTTTCCAAGAACATAAGTGGCAAAGTCTAATTTGAGCCCATGCCTCTGAAACCTAGTCCTATCGAGAGCTCCAAGTTCTGGAAAGAAACACAGCCTAGGGGAAGCACAACTGAGTTAATACCCAGAAGTGCTCATTCTGTCAGGGGGGAAAGCAAACCACCACCAAGCTAAATGCAAAAAGGTGAATAAAATGGAAAAATGATGGGGTTGTCATGACAGCAGAGTTTCATCCATCTGTGTACTTTGCAATCCTCAAAACAATGTGCCAGTGCTAGTTGAGGGGATTCATAAGAAGGCCCAAGTATTGGCTTGCCATATTGGTTCCATGGGAAATGAACCCATGGAACCAATGGGTTGCAACCTCTAGGAAGGGCTGTACCCATCTTCGTCTCTGCTCTCTCTTCAGGC